ATCCATCCATCCATCCATCCATCCATCCATCCATCCATCCATCCATCCACATGTGAAAATGTGTTTCTAGAGACTAAATTGACACTTTTGTTGCAGAAAGGGACCTTTTACCTTTGTCACAATGAAATTTTTATTAAGTATATCTAAGCTGCTACTTATACAGCCAATATGGTGTGGCAGTTAAAGGCACCAGGCTAGAAACAGGGAGATTGTGAGTTGTACTCCCACATGAAGCACAAACCTAACTGGGTGACCTAGGAAGAAAAAGGCAAGGGCAAACTTCCAGTTCAGGAAGTCTTGCCAAGAGCACTGCAAAGGCCTATCCATGTATTCTCTAGAACTCAACATTGACACCAAGGTAAAAGGAGAAGGGAAAAGGAGAATCAACTCCAGTGCAAATGCTGCAGAGATTTTCAGATTCTCAGTCAGACATGCATGCCTCCTTCACCGCCACCCACTTCCCAAACTCAAAAAAATGCTGCCAAGAAAACTGCAGGAACCTCACTATATAGTCACCAGGAGTCAGGGTTGACTCAAAAAACAATTTAGAGGGCACCAAGGTGGAGAATGAATGGATCAAATGAAAACATTTAACTTGAGGTGGGTGGGGACAGGAATGGATTAAAGAGAATGAGAGCCAGTTTTATGCAATGGTTAAGGCACCAGGCTGCAAACTGGGAGACCATGAGTTCTAGTCCCATCTTAGACATGAAGCCAGCTGGGCGACCTTGGGCCAGTCCCTCTCTCAGCCCTGGGAAGAAGGCTTCCAGAACCGTTGCCAAGAAAACTGCAGGGCCTAGTCTAATAGAGCTACTAATGTAGTAGTTTAGTAGAGCTACTACGTAACCATTTAGAGTAATAAGAACTCTGCAGCTAAACCCTGAAATTCCATCCTTGCAAATGGCACTATAAACAACACAATAAGGAAAACAAACAATATTTACTAAGGATACTAAAACCATTTCTATGATCACCTTTAAGCAATTTCAGATACGGGCAGTCCTCACTTAATGACTGCAATTGGGACCAGCAACTTGCTAAGTGAAAGATCACGTGACCGCGTCCAACTTACAACAACAGTTCTGCTGTGATCATTAAGCAAATCACCAGTGATAGTTAAGCATGATGTCATGTAACTGCAACTTGCGACCTCCTGCCAGCTCCCCCACTGACTTTGCTTGTGGGAAGCTGGCAGGGAAGGTTGTAAATGGGATCACGTGACCATAGAACGCTGCAACCGTTGTGAATGCACGTTGGTTGCCAAGCGGCCAAATGGTGATCATGTGATCACCGGGTGCTGTGACGGCAGCAACTTTGAGGACCAGTTTAAATCTCCTTTTTCAGCACCGCAATAACTTCAAACAGTTGCTGAACAACCAGTCAGTAAGTGAGGACTGCTGTACAATGGAAAGACAACTATTATTATTTCCATGCTGTAATACAGAAAGACAGGGTGGTGCAGTGGTGAAGGGACTGGACTAGGAGTGGGGAAACCCAGGTTCAGGTTCACCTCTGCCATGAAAACCTAATGGATGTCTTCAGCCCAATCATTCTCAAAGCCTGACCCACCTTACAGGATTGTTATTAAGGGGATAAAATTAAGGGATGCCCCCACACACATATAATCTGCCCTGAACTCCTAAAAAAAATGCAAGGTACTTCTCTTAGTAATCATAGTTCTCATAATATCAGAATAAAAACTTTACCTGCACACTGGAGAGCCCAGGGAATGGTAAACGTCTAGAAAAGAAAGGTTTCCAAAATTTGGGTTTGCTGACATCAAAGTTTATTCTTAGCGGGGAATCATACTGTTGAATATTAAACCAAACCTAAGAGGAAAAAGCTTAAGTATTATCTTTGTTATACAGTAATTCAGGACTAATTGGTCTGGAGTGGATCCACAAAGTTATGTAGCCTTCTTTACCTTCACTCAGGCAGGGGTGATATGGAGGGTCTTTTTAAACATTATCTTGTACTTCCTGACTTTAATCTGAAACTCTGACACGGTGGCAGGATATGGCTGATAAGGGGAAACAATTCAGTTGAGATCCAGAGGCATTCTGAAGCTCTTCAGATCCAAGCCTAAACGTATCACCACCCGCTGCAGTCCCACCATAAAAGGATCTGGTAGAGGACATCATGTCTTGAGAAAATGATGCAAATCATGAAATTTGCTTGTACCTGCTGCATTTGCAGGCGTCATGATGCCACCTGCCCTCATTTTGCACACCTGCTCAGCTGATCCCCAATCTTGAACAGTCAACCACAGTGCTTGCCTCTCCTTTGAACTGGCTCACTTGGAACGCAATTGGTACCACCCTACCAGGATGGGGGAAAGAAGGCACCTGCTCTTCATATGGCTGTAAACAAATTTTATGCCAGGTGGAGCCAGACTGACAAGCTCAGCATGCACTGGATGCAAGCTCTTACACAAGACTGTCAAGAATCTGCTTGGCAAGAACGGCCAAGAAATTCTGCAGAGAACATCTTTTGCGTGCAGATTAAATTCCAAGTGTCCCCAGCTACAAAGCACATCTCCTGGTGCAGGACAGAAAGGAAACCTATGTTCAGGTGAACCACCTGGTAGCGAGCCCATGTGGCTGGCGGGAACTGCTCAGCTGTGCAAGCATGGCAGCTAGGGAGTGTGCTTCACTTACGTTGTCTCCAGAAATCAAGCAGCTGACACTTTTCAATGGACAGAAAGCATCATATTGTCCATAAAAATGGCCATGGCTTGGATTCCAAATCACATACTGGTTTTGTTCCCAAGTTAGCACATATGCTGTTGGTCCCTGGTGGGAAAAATGAAGTTATTTACAATTTTACAATATCCCCTTTTGCTGCTAGCCTAGCAGTACTTAAGATCCAAATTCTGAATGAGCCAAAGCGGAGAAAAGATCAGGCTCCTTCACGTGATAAATCCAGCCATTTCCATGTAAACTGAACCACTCTAATGAGTCAGCGGAAGAACATAATAAAAATCCAGTTCAGCAGAAGATTTTCTTGTGGAAACCCTGGGACAACCCACTCACTGTACAGGAGACAACCTCAGAACCAGAGTTTTTGGTTGCTTCTAAAATTAGTTTGGGCTATTACTGGTGAAGTAGCATCTTTTCTCAAGTAAGTGAAGTTCATTTAAATGCAAAACAGCCTTACCTCCGGAATAGCATTCCCAATTAGAAGCCAGGCCTTTTTGCCAAGAGCAAGAAAATAGTTACACAACAGCACAGCATGTTCTTCTTCATCTCCAGCCAAAAGATCAAGGAACTGCTAACAAATGTAAGCAAACAAATGATGCTGTTAAAGACTATTTTGTATCCCTGAATATTTTGGCTTAATTTAAATTCCAGTTAAGGAGGTAGAATTATGAAAGGACAGCAATAAACTGCTACTACTCCAACCTCCAGAAGCCACTGTGTGGCTGTGTGATGGAAACAGCCACATCTTGCTTTCATTTAGAGCGGTTCCACTTAGGAACTATACAGTCAGAAAGTAAATATTCTTAACAAATGCATAACTTCCCTTTATATAAGCAGTTAGCATGCTGCAGTGTGATGTATGAAGGGACATGATTAAGGAAGAATATGGATTTCTAGATCAAATTGAATTACTGAAATTGAAAGCGGATGGTGCCTGAACTAAGCCTTTGATCTGATTTCAATTTCCATGGATCCTAAAAGGTCACATTATGCAGCAATTCAGTTTTTCCACCCTCCCCAAAGCTGGTCTTTGTAATCCAATACATAACAGCATTACAGTGTTAATGCCAACAGACCTCACAACCCTAAGTTTAATTATTACACACACACACTCCATTGTTTTGGCATAAATGATTACAAAAAGACATTCCTTTGATAATAGATACATAGTTGTAGACATTTTCAGGTTTTTAACTTACATCAGAGGTACTCCATAAATCACAAATTCCAGCAAATGATACCGTATCGGGTAAGAAAGGAATCAGGGCTACATATCGGGCGACTAATTCCTATGTACAAAAAAGAGAAAGCAAAGCCCTCTCATTAGCCTGGGGCTGAAGGTGCTAATGCAAGACTTTATCCTCTCCTCAGGAATGGTTGTTCTGTCTTGGTTTCTCCTGGGCCTGCTGCAAACTAGTTCGGGCTTCTTCCTGACTGGTCCAAAATAATTCATTTTGGCTGCACCAACTCAGGTTAGTCTTTTTAGGCTGTCTGCTTCACCTCTCAGAAGGCCATTAAGCAGGCCCGCTGGTGTTTAATGTGAGCAAAACAAATAAAAAGAATTAAATCTTGCTTTGCATATTACAAACATTAGTGTTTCCCCACAGAATACAAACACGTACAGAGGTTTCTTGTGGACTGTCTGGATGAACTCGTAGGAGCTCTTCTGGGGGGTTTAGGGCTTTGATGAATCTCGTAACAAAGACTGTTTTTCCACTGATGTCAATTACTGTGGTCAGGCATTGGCGATTTGGAAACTTCAGGGCACATTCAACTTGATATCTTTCAGCTGCTTGAAGAAGGTTCTCATCTTCCTGAGTGTCAAGCTTGAAGAAAAAAATCCAAGTTTGTTTTATTAAAATGTTTCAACTAATGCATAAGACATAAATAGCTAAAGTGATCAATGCCCCAGACCAGTCCTGTCATAATTATTGTAATGCTTTGGATAAAAATGCTACACTCATTTCTTGTTATGGATGGAACAGAGGCGCTAGGAGGATAGTCAAAGGGGTGCTTTGATTCAATGACACTTCAGTCAATGTTTTAAACCTGATTCATTTGCCCTTTCATAGTGCTTTGTGTGATTTGAATTTTATTCCAAAAGGAGCTCATTGGAGGGCAAAGTCAGCACCTGTCCGGGACTCTTTAAACCAGCTGCTTCTTTTAATGGAATTGCATAGCTGTCCTGTACCAAATGCCAGGGACCTTGTCTTAAGTGAGAGACATTTTTCACAAAGTTAGTGAGAGGTGGAAAGCTGAAACACACACTCCCAACTGTAAGTCACTGCCAAATAAACACACAGATATGACTCTTCTATATATCTGATTCAGAATACCTTTCCCTCTTTATTTCACTCTTTCACTTGTTGCATCTCTTCAACTTCTCATTTCTCTTTTGATTCACCTTCCCCCTTCCCTTTTTCTCTTTTCTAGAAGTTCTGGAGAACAGTGTGGTAATATAGTAGTAGTAGTAGTAGTAGTAGTAGTAGTAACAGTAATAGTGAAGCTGTGGAGATATCAGTATATTTTATCTCTACAGTATATTACAGTAAATCATCACAATTCCCTGCTCTGTCTAACTACCACCCAGTTCCAGCACCTTGGAAGTACAGTGTGTCCTGGGAATTTTTGATGGTTCCTACATCTTGCAAAAAGTACTGTGCTATACATTACTGTTATTAAAACAGCCACACATACATTTTGTGCTATATAAAACACTATTTTTTTAAGTGTACAGGGAAACAAATGCATGTCAAACATAAAAAGTTCTAATCAAGCCCTGCCATTTTTTTTAAAAAAGTACATTTAAACATCCTTTACCTTCTTCAACATTTCATTCATCTACACAGATGCAGGAAGGCCAGCAAAGAAGAGAGACAAAGATATGAATAACACAATGCGACTGCGTAGAATAATGTGAACGAATATAAAAAATAAGCAGCTAAAAAAACATGGGCAATGTTTCACTATTTAATGAGTGTTTTTACAGAAGTGAAAAGGGATTGTGATTATTAGGAAAACAATGGGCTTTCCATCAAGACATCAACATGGAAAGGAGAATCTGCCCTTCTCTGAAACTAGATGACTGAACTCACTCTCAAAGGAAGAGAGTTTCCTAATCTTTGTTTCAAAGAAGTCCTTCAAATTTCTGAAATTTCTGAAATCAAAGCATTATCAGGACTCTGTAATGATAATTGGACCTGGATGAGGACATTCAAGGAACAAGTTCTCATTAAAAAAATGTGTTAAAAAAAAGAGTTAAGGTTAATAGCACAAGAATTCCAACAGGTACTTTTGCTTCCAATGGGAATGATGATAGACAGACAGACAGGCAATTCAAAATAGTTAGCTTTGACTTGCTTTTTCCCAAACTTATCAAGAAAGTACACGGAAGGAGAGTTTGTCTCCCAGGAGAAGTGTACTGAATGTCCTTCCCAAAACAGGGCCTTGTCCTCCTCCCTGCCAGCAGTGTGGACCTTGGGCTTACAAAAGTGCTGCATCACTGCTCCCAAATCCCCAACTTTATCCCCATCTTCCCATTTTATGGTTCAGCATCTATAGCTGCCATGCAAGTTTCTTACTTTGGTTCTCTCTCAGTGACTTAATATTTATCCTTAGATAACACTATCTAACTAATAGTTTGCTAGGGATGGCTTCAGGATGAGCTGTCCTTAGCAAACTATTAGGACCACATGAAAGCCCTACAGATGTCTCCCAGGGATGCATTAGTGCTGAGGGAACTGTGCTTCTCCATAGCCCTTTAATCCTATAACCTGCCAAAATTAGGTGCACTATGTTTCTGAATTGCATTTTGTTCTCTTTTATTCCTTATTGTATTTCCTTCCACCAGTTTGGTAACTTCTCCACTATCAAAATTAAGTTTTGTATTAATTAAGTAAAATCCTTGGAGTAGTGAACCTTTCTTTTTCTTTTTATGCTTATATACTTGAAATATTACATAAGTATGTGCATGTTCATCCAAGCATTCAAAGAAATTTATAATAACCATGAATACTAAGGGTCAAGACTGAGCAATGGCCCAATTTTGTAAGTTTGCCTACATCCTTGAGAAGCCTTTTAAGCCTCTGTAAACAAAGTGGAGAGGAAACAAATACATTTCCTTGTCTTGCAGGATTTACCTTTCCCAGAATTCTGATGTAATAATTCAGAAGCAAAGACTGTCTAGCAATCATGCTGTAACAGTACTGATAATTATTCCATAACAGTCTTTCTAAAATAGTGGCAGCTGCAGTAAATTACTGTAAAAAATAGAACCGCAAAATTATTCTGCACCAATTTGTCTGACCACATATATTATTCATTATTAGTAACTGATCAACAGAAACTGAAAAGGTGGTTGAGCATAAATAAATGCAACCTTTGCCCGTGATTATATATGGTACAACAGTGATGAAATTCTAAAACAGAAATGTCTTGAATCTATTGCTGTGCCTTGTTTCACAAATACTTGTAAGAAGGTAACTCCTGTTTAAATAACCAAAGAAACTCACCGGTGATATGGGTATTGATACTGGAACACCTGGTGATGCAACAGTTCTTTTCCCTAACATAAACTCCCTCCTAAATGTTCAAATTATGATCAGAAATAAAACTTGTACAGGTTTACCCGTTCTTGAACTGATTCTCCAGGAACAAGTTGGGGTTCAATTGTAATGAACAAGGAGAGGTAGGAGCCATCACTCAGGCTTCGTGTGGAATCATATCCTCTGTCAATTCCCAGGTTTTTCCCTTTGTTATAGCCAAGAAGAACAGGAGGGGTATCTATCTTAAATGTGCCATCAATCTAGATGAAGAGAAACAAATGGTCTTTAATAAAAATTAAGCATGAATGATCAAGAGGACAGCAATAACTTACTTACATGCATGTTTGTGTGTAAAAATGCTTTCTTCAGCACTTACTCTTCCTTGAAAATATACTGTTGTAAATGGAATCCGAACCGATCCAAGCCAGCGCTTCTCCACACGGGTATGAACTCCACCACTTTCTCTTTCCCGATCATCCTAAGGAAAAAAATCACAAAATCCTGACCAGCGTTTACAAAAAGAATGATCTGAGCTTCCTCATTTCTCCTTCTCACCCCAGATGGTGAACTGTGAATAATTTCTCAACCAGCTCTGGGGGGTGGGGGGAAGTATTTCATTCCCATTTGTCATTCAGTGCAAGATGGTATTCTGTGCTCAGATGCGATGGTATGTTTTAGACAGTTCTCAAAAAAGAGGAGCACAATGGGTTCACAAGGAAAATTCCCTAGAATATGATCTATTTATTATACCAAGTTATGTAGCTGCATCTCGCAGTTGTGATTCTGAGTAGCCAAAATAGGATTAAAACCAACAAAAAATAAAGAGAACAAGTAATAATAGCAGTAACACCATAATAGCAGAGTGGTGTTCAAGGACAATCCAATCTAGTCCATACAAACATAGTAATATCAACGAAGAACCACAATGATGGCCTCACCCAACCTCCAGACAAGGAATGGCTCAGTTAGAAACAACCTGAGCAGCATAAAATCTGTGCCATCACTGGAGCACTCTAACAGAATATCTAAAACACGATTATGGAATATCAGCAGGAATGAAAGGGCTACTTCTCCCCAAAGAACATTAAAATATTTTCAGATGACAATTTTTGGAATGCCTCTATCTTCACAGGTTGGGTGAATAAGTTCCTTCTTGGTGGGTTTAATGGCCTGACACTATCTGTCCTTTATTTTTATTTATTATTAAACTTAATAATTTAAATTTAATAACTTTACCTACAAAGCTAAGTTCATCCCTACTTTAATATCCCAGAATCTAAATGCTACAAAGGACATTGATGGGCTTTTTGCCTCTGAGGTTTTCATATTCTACTTTTATCCTCTCTTAAACTTATTTGGCAGGGAAAGATCGGATCAGTAAACAAGTCATCGGTAAACCAATCAAAACAAAAGCCACCTCATTAGGCCCTGTGCATCTGGGGGCAGTGATTGAGTATTCTGTTTTTTCTAACACTAACCCCTAGGAATAAGTTAATTCTTGACATTAGAATAAAAGCCTGTTCGTGCAGAAATTTGCAGGATTTCTTCAAAGGAGGGGAAACAAGCAGTTCCAGTATGTTTCCAATGATGCATCCAAAGTTATCAGCACCACAAAGAGTGAAGCTCTAAAAGTGCTTCCTGATTTTAGTCTACCTTTACTTTTTATGTCCCCATTCCCCACATAGACCAGGGCTTGACTGTTCAAACAACTGACCTTCAGCATATCCAACCTAATCTGTGCTGGTTGGCAAATCCTGGAGGGAAATCTTTGCTTTTCAGATCTGAATATTTTGTAGCTGGGGCTCCATTGGGTGAGTATGTCTAGCTCCCTTGTTCCACCTCTTTTCACCTTGATCTCACAATATACAGGATCAAGAGAATTCTTCAGATGATTTGCTCACCTCTAAGACATCATATAGTACTTCATCAAAGAGGTTAATGAAGATGTCATCCTTCACTGACTGCAGAACGGAGGTGCTATAGTCACTGTTAGGAGCTCTATAACAATATTTAAAAACTGAGATACAGATCAAAATACAATGTGCAATACAACAGCATGCCAAAAGGGTGCTTCCTCCTTCTCTATTCTCCAAGACTATCTCAATCTTTATACACGATTTCATCACAATACAAAACTGGTATTACCCTGTTCCAGTAGAAGGGACAGCAGAGTCTTAGGGAATTCAGAGATTTGACTCCCACCCCAATCAGAACCCAAATGTTTCATTCAGATGCCAACAGAAGCCAGCCCATTGAATAAGGAAATGCAAAAAAGCTGGAGGGGGTGATACACTGGTAGAACTAAGATGGGGAACAGGATGAAGGTTTGCTCACTCTTCAGCAGTGTTTTCAAACTCAGTTCCTTTGTGGTCTTCCATAAAGGTCAAAACTCTTTAGGTGTTTTCATTTTCAGAAGAATACAAAGCCAGTCTGCTATACTAATGAACACTTACTGGGAATTCATACAAAGCAACTGAGATTTTCACACAAGGTTTGTCACAGTGTGAAGTAGAAAATCAAATGTTAAATAACAGGGGTAGGTGACCAATAGTCCCTGGACCCTCTGCAATGAATCTTTCCAAATTTGGCAGCATGGTTTCCACCCTCTTGAGCTAGAAATGGAAACAAGCCTTGTTGCTTAAAATAACAAAGACCAATTCAAAATCTCCCTCCCTCAAAAACCTAAAGGAAATCCTTAGTTGTGCCCAAATGCAGGATTTGGTCCCAGTCCCTTTGCCTCACTGTCCTGCCCAATGCAATTCTTCTCCAATGAAAAGAAGGCTGGCCCCCACTTAATGGGATTCATTCACACCTAAATGGAAGTTCAAGTTCTTCACTCCAGTTTGGGTTGGGCCCTTCTGCAGTGGTTGTCCGACAAACTGTTCGCTGGAAAGAAACTTCTACAAAAGGCCGAACTGAAACCTACAATTAAACAGAACCCAAAGCACTGATATGTTAGATAAGATGCAAAGCTCAGATACGTCAAAAACTGTAGAATTTCATATAACAGGACACCTGTTTGGATTTCAAACTATTCATCTCCAAACACAGTACAGTACAGTACAGTACAAAAACTGCACATGTTCACACAGGTTCTCTTAAACTACTGTACATTTTGTCTGGAGGGTTAGGTATTTTCGCACAAAACTCTTTTTTTTTTTTTTTTTTTATATAAAAAAAAAAAAA